AGATAGATAGATAGATAGATAGATAGATAGATAGATAGATAGATAGATAGATAGACACAAACAGGCAGACAGATCGACAGACAGACAGACAGAAATGAAAGAAGACGGATGTACTCGTATAGATTTTTTTCATGAATTCAGACACCTTGAATTCATACATGTATAACTTTTCAGTTTGCTTTTCGAAACTGAGACAACAAAAACGAAATTACGATTTTGAAGGATTTTCTATCGGTTCGACAAAAATTGTACTAAAACTCGACAATAGATGGTGTGAAATGAAAAACAGGATAGAAACAGTCTGAGTAGATATCTACTATTAGCCCTTAACCTCCAACTGTACCTGTTTAGTTCCTAAACTAAATCATTCACATACCATATTTCTATCAAAGCAAATCAAGTTAAGAACAAGCCTAGTCCTTTTTGAAGAAAAAATAAAAATAAATACATTGAAAAATAGCCTAAGCCCTGAAAGGATTTGTGTGAATTCGTCTGTTTTTCCTCAAGACCCTCTTCATAATATTATTATTTCGCTTACTTTTACTTTTATTTTTATCCTCCGCTTATACCCTTTTTGGAGTCGTGGGAAGAAAGAGACATCTCTCTGTCACCAGCCGGAGAGCTTGGGTCAGGGGGATGCCGTGGGTGGTTAGTGTTTCCCTGACTCCATCTATCCAGGACTTTCTCGGTCGCCCTCTAGCCTTGTTGCCTTCGAATTTTTTTATGTAGGCACGTTGTGCTGGGTGGTGTGTTGGTAATCTCATGAGATGTCCGAACCATTTGATTCTTACGTGTTGGATGTGATGCATGACATCATTTATGTGCCCGACATTTCTCTGATTACTGTTTTTCTAATTTGGTCTCGCCTGGTCTTGTTTACTGCTTTTCTAAGGCATCGCATTTCACATGTTTTAATTCTTTGCTCTAATGTCTTGTTCGTGGTCCATGTTTGGCATTGGTAAATGAGTGTTGGGATGAATGTAGTGTTGATCATTTTGAGTTTTGTTGTCATGGGGATATTAGGATGTTTCAGTAGTGAAGTAAGCTGGCAACTAACATAATTGGCCTTTTGTACTCGTGTTTCAATTTCTCTGTTCAGTCGCCCATCCTCTGTGAATATACTTCCGAGGTACTAAAATTCTTGGACCTGTCTGAGACTGTTGTTGTTGATGTGTATCCTGAGTGGTCCTGGCTTTCTGCTAACTTTCATTGTCTCTGTTTTGTTGATGTTGATCTTCCTGTCATAGTTGTTACATTCTTCGTCTAATCTTGTGGTGTGGTGTTGGAGACTTCGTTCATCTTTGTGTGTAAAGCTTTAGTCATCAGCGAAGAGTAATTCATTTAGGGCGTCTAGTTCTGTGTTGGCCTCTTTTGTAATTGTATCCATATATGTGATAAATAGTAGTGGTGATGGGAACAACCTTGTCTTTCTCCGGATGTTATTCCAACCATTCCGTGAGTCCCTTCGACGTTCTTACTCTACTTATGCTGTTCTCGTAAATGGCACGGAAGTTGGCCTCTTACAGTGTAGAATTCGAGTTCTTTCCATAGCTTGTTTCTCTTCACTCTGTCGAACGCTTTTTCCTGGTCGACAAATACTATGTTTAGTTCCCGGTTGTGTTCTTTCACCCTTTCGCACATTTGTCGTAGGGCTAATATTGCGTCGGTGCATCCTCTTCCCTTTCTAAATCCCATTTGGGCCTCACTCTGAAATGGTTCAAATTTGTTTCTTGTTCACCATTCCAATATCTTGGCGAACATCTTGCCCACTTGGCTTAATAGTGAAATTCCTCTATACATTCCACAGTCTCTCTTGCTGCCTTTCATTTTCCAGATTGGCACTATGATCGCTTTTTGCCCGTCGCCGGGAACTTTTCTTTCTGTCCATGCTTTCTGGAAGATTTTTGTGAGCCACGTTATTTCAGTTTTACCACATGCTAGGATGGTCTCCGTGGTGAGCCCATCTATTTTGCGCTTCTATTTTTCAGGCTGGTTTTAACTGCTTGTATTATTTCGCAGGTGAGATAATCAACGATTTAGCAGACATCACCGATACCATAACCATAGACTCGGGCAACGAATACGGCCTTTTCGACATCATCAACGGAAGCCTAATCGCCAATCGAACGTTCGCCCTGGACGGAAAGGAAAACGAAGTAAGTGAAGTTTCTAGACTCCTTATATATATA